GTGATAACGAATATATTAATTAGCCAGAAATTTCCTCAGGTATCGCTCATTGTGTCCAGCACTATTAAACAGATAAATTAACTTTTTTTTTTTTTAAACAATACCACTTGAGACCTGGAGTATCATTGATCGTACGCCAACTGCACCAGCTAATCAATTCCGATTATGGTAATAGTTTTAATTGTCGCTTCTCATGCCTCAGGCAAACTTTAACACAGACCCCGAAATCAAATCACACGTTTCTTAATATCGCGCTCAATCTTGTTAACAAGTTTCATTCAAAACGTATATTTTTCGCATATAGCATTGGCATATAGTGTTGGCACACACTTTGTACTGCGCTTGTGGCGCCATTGATTTAAAACAGCAGCGACACAGATGGCGCCGTCTGACGGTGCGCAAGAGAATTACAAAGCCAAACGTTTGAGATCTGACGAGTAGAGAATGCTGGACTCTGCACTGAATGCTAAATAGAAAAAAGTATTCAGATAGGGTGAATTATTACCTACTGTGTGTTGTAACGTACCTATAGATCTGACTATTGCTAGACAGCGTAGTGTAGAATAGGTACTGTGTGCTAGACCTGGTCGTCCACTGTTACTTTTTGAATGATTTGCATTTGAAACTGGATACACGCATTTTGTGGAGTTGCTTACGGTTTGTACCTTGCCCCAATGCCTGCCTCCAGCGAATTTCGAAAACAGTTTTTATTATCGAGACTGCCGTCAATGATGGCATGTCAGTTCAGGCTGGTCGCGCGTTAACAGAACCACTAATCTCAGCGGTAGTTTCCTTGTTATCATAAATTTTAATGTGATTGTCCTATTCGTCGTCTTTTCCAGGTGCTACCCAAATTTGTATTTGTTAATCTTTGGTGACCAGACGCGAGCCGACATATTCAATTTGCCATGACTGATTTTCCTGTTCTAACAAGCGCTGCATTAATTAACATGCAAATTTCGGGTACCGATTTTGGAAAAAGATTTATTTTGTACTGGAGAGAAGACCTTTCGTTCGAATAATCAGTTCCTGTTGAGGCGACTGTAGCCAAAAATTAATCGAACCCTAATAAATCCAGTTGTTGCTGACAAGGAAAAATACGAGAAAGTTCAGGACAATTCCTTTGAGTAAGATAATTTATCTATTTGTTTTTATATAGATAGGTTACTAGTAAGGTTTCTGCTTTGGAAAAAACTTGGCTTCTATTGTCCTTTTTCTTCGGTAAAATGCATTGAATTTAACATGCGTTTAACGGAACGTTCAGTTGCTAAAAATTTTTTCGACTGGAGAGATGGCCAAACGATTACACTGCATCGCATGGTACCTGAGGCATGTTGCACCATACACTTTGCAGATACACATAGCCTCTGGTAAATAAAAATCCATTTTCCCACATACACCTCTCAAATCTTTTCCAGGCTTTGTTAGTCATAGGTTGTATATTATAGAGGTCAGGATCAATCTTTGGTATGTTTATTTCCCATAAACTAATAAACTCCGAATAAGCTAGAGTGATGAGAAGCATGAGTCTCTACACATAGCACTGTGCTGCTCGAAAGGTACGCGCATCTGTTTAAGGACTAACGAGTAGGTCTCATGGTGCGTTTTATGAATAAAGGCTTAAGTACTTCAAGTTGCTTCGATAAGAAGTGTTCCCGGACATCTTTGTTTTTGTAGAAAGCAAGCAGTACCTTTCGTAAAGAAAGTGTTGACAACATACGTTAATTAATACGTTAATACATTCTGTAGAATAATCAGAATTAATCTTCAATATAATACAAATCAGTTGAAGTAACTTGGCTGAAATTAATAAAAAGTGCTACAAGCATAGGATTCTTAAAAATGCATGAGAAACATCGGCAAAGGCAACAAACATAAGGCAAAATTCCAACTTAAAGAGATATTAACTCAAATGTACCTAGAAATCAACCCTACAGATATCTTTTTCAGCGGATGGTCTTTTCCCATTAGGTCTTCTATGTATAACTGATTCGAAGAAAAGCAAATCACGCAGGTTTTATATTTTTTATGCGGCATAATCGTTTAGCAAAGCCCGTGCGCTTTTTTTTAAAATTAGAAATGAAGGTTCTATATACTATAGAGTCACACACCTTGCCCGGTTGGTTTAAATGTGTTGTCCCTAAGTGTCAGGCTAAATTTTCTATTTTTTCTTGTAAATCATATTTATGACGATGCAAACAATGCGGTTAAAACAAAGTTATCGGCGCTTGTAGCTTTTAACGTCATAGAAGGTATGTCTATGTTACTCGCCTAAATAATAAATGACAAAAGACAACAATTTGTTGGCAATTGAAAGTGGACCGTGTACAGCTCGCATAAATTCTGTCCACCGAGCGCCCAATAGGAATAGATGGCCTATTTTTCTTGTCTGATTAGCAAATTAGCTGCCTAAAATTGCTCACAATCAGAATAGCCGAAGCCTTTAGAAGAACGGACTTCGATCTTTAAGAGGTTGTGCTTGCATCATCCAAGACAGTTGCGTCATTGATGTAAGTGAACTCGAGATTTTTTCAGAGGAAATCGAAAATACGCTACTAAAGTGACTAAGATGGGCGTTCCGAGCAAAGCAGAAGGATCTTTTCGTTGTAAAATTGAGTCATAGTTGTATCGTACTGAGACCTAATAGGTTATATTTTTTCATAGTTGCCCTTATATATCATAACGTTATAGAGACTGAAGAGATTCTAGTTATTGTGATGCAAACAGTACATATACTAAATGTAAGCTCGTGATATTAGTGTACATAGCAGGAGCAGAGTAATAATAATAAAACATTAATATTTGCCGACTAATCTTAAGAAGATCGTCGATTCCATTGGCTTTTTCATGTACCGCGGCCTTTACTTTTCGTAAATAAGCGTGCTATTCAATTCTACTCAAATATGAATGATACTACTATCTTCTGACTATACTAAGGCTCCTTGACAAGCAAATTAAACTCAAGAGCATTCTTAAGAACTATTTGCTGACTGGAGTGGTTATTTTCAAAGTTTTTTTTTCTGAAGTTGATGTAGGTTTCACTCATAGACACCTCGACATCAGTTTAGCCTAGATAATTATGATTGGCTGAAAGACTCATTAATGATATATTTTATAGCACGCGCACAATTTTCGTGGGAACTCTTTATTCAGTGCTCAGCCTCAACTCTTTGTTAACATACAGGATGCTACTGTTGGAAAATGCTACCTAACCTTTCTCCCTGTTTAATTGGATTACCTCTAGTCGTTTTATTTATATGATATATGATCAGACAAAAGCTTTTGTCGATGATTTTTTCCCTGTGTCTCGGCTATTTTTCTTTTGCATATATAAACAACTCTTGGTACTTCCTTCTCGGTACGGCATCAACTACTATTTGAACTTTGCTCTGGGGCTTCTAAAACACACATATGAAAAGCATACAAACAACTTTTTGTGGCAATGCTTCCTTATTCATGCTGAATTTCCCTATGTCGTACAGTTATCACGGAAATGACGTTTGGCCAATGTGATTATAATTCGTCCAAAGCAAAGATTTCTCTAGTATTTTTTTTTTGTAAATGGACTGAATGGTTTATAAAAAATTAATACGTTAGCTTCACGAGGCCGGCACTACATGTTATTATTTCCAATAAAGCATCATTTGTACAATAGTTGCGTATATTGAGGATGGTCTCTGATAAACACTTTGCTTCGATCTTATTGTGACTTCTCTTGTGAGAGCTTTTGAAGACGAAAACTGCCATGTTCGTTTTATCATTTTGAAACGTTGCACAAATCCGTAGCCGATCAAATTGACGTAATAAGGTTAGGCAACTGTGTAATATCTAGTCATACGAATAATCATTACGCAAGACATTTCCTTTTTTGCTTAATTTTATGTAAATGGCGCTGGATCAGAATGCATGCGACCACGGCTCACGGGAACAACATAGGCTCTGAAAGAACCAATAATGATTCATTAGTGCACGGGCTTCTAAAAAGTCCGATCTAGCACGTGCGTAGAAGCTCTTTCCGACCATCAGAACTATTTCTAAATTTTCGACATAAGTGCATGTTGAAAGATGGGTTGGAAAACTGATTTCATTGATGCAGTATACGCACGTTAGTTTCGTGCTAAGCTAGCTGACGTACAGTTAGCTCCGGAACTTTCTAAGCGAATGAATTGTATGTTACAGTTACTGCGTACTTCTTTTTTCTTTAATTCTTTTCTCTGTTTTACGCATATTATATATATATATATATATATATATATATATTTTTTTTTTTTTTTTTACTAGAATATGAAGAGAGAGTAAGTGAAGGAACGTCGATATACATCCAAAATGAATATGAACATTTTGTCAATTGTAGTAGTACACCAGTCTATCTAAGAGATTGTGGATATCACCATTGTTAGAAAGGCTGTCAGCATATGAGTTGTTCAACTCATATGTAGCAAATGTACAAAGTATGCCTCATAATTCTAGTCATGTAAACCTTATCATTTATTGAGTCATGTCAAATTTCAGTGGCACTTTAGACCAAGCTGGTCAGACAAGTGTGAAACAATCGCAATATTCGACCAACCCGAGATAACTCTTGCACAGCAGATGAGCTTCAACGACATTTGTCGCAAGAGTCTTCCCGAAGACCGCTTTCATTAATATCAAATTATTTTTAACGTGGTAGCACTCAGCCTTTACCTGCTACGGTCGTACCCGAGCACCCTTACGGGATGTAGACTATACATGTCTTCCCAAGCCCTTAGGGGTTGTAGTTCGCGATAGCAGCGGGCTCAATAACAGGCCTTTCTCACTCATCAAAGGCTAAATGCACATCAACACGTTATCAATGGCTTGGTTTTAAAAAATGTCGTGATCGATCCACACATCTGCGCTAGGAACAACAGTAACAACTGCAGCAGCAACTGAACAGTGCTTGGATGCCATTGCTACAGGCAAATCAGGCCACAAATTCTGTCGTGTCATTCTCTGCCTATAAGAGTATGGGTACTTACGTTCCTGTACGGAAAGCTTCATTATTTAGAACTAACAGGATCATCTCCTTCATAGACTCAAGCCGTCAGTAGAGTACGCACGATGGTAGCACAACAGAGGCTTGCAGAATATTCCGAAATCGTTAAGCTCTAGATCAAAGATCAAGTACGTGAAGTGAGCTCGCATTGTTCATAACAATTTTTTTACGTGAGAGAACTTTTTAAGAAAGCCTCTTTAGCATATTCAACCTTTTAGCTGATTTGAAATCTATATCTGATGATCGTTTCACTATTTTCTGCTCGACTATTTTAGATTCAGTATATCACGTACTCTATGTGCCATTACGAGCATTATTAGCCACACCGATACGTCAAGCGTGACCGTGCATACTTGCTAGCCAAGTGCTGCTTCCACAGATTTCTTCACTTGTTTAGAATCAGTTAGGGGAACGAGCACCAATGCAACGGTAGCAACACACAACCTTTCTTGCCACTATTTTGAAACGGTCACAGATGCTGACAATCGCCGGTTTTGCCACAAGGTACAGTTTGTGTCTGGACGGTCGGTCACATCAAACGCATGACTGACCATTCGTTTTCCGAGTAGACTGACCGGCGACCAGTACAGATACAGATGGGTCCACCCAGATATGTCCTTTAACCCGAATCTATAATAAAAATTTGACGCAGACTACCCGCGCACCGTAGGGTGATATAGTTGTTCAAGACTCCGAGAGCGAGCCTCCATAGTGGATTTTTGAACACATAGTATTAACTGAAAAAGCGGCATTGTTTATTATTTTTCAGAAATGTGTGTTTTAAGAAATTCCGACATGCCACAAGCTATATCGCTTGCCCAGAATTTATCCGACGAACGTATCGGCTCTGCTTCCTCGTCGCTGATTTAAATAGGCACCAATCACACGATCCCGTCCAGTCAAATGTTGCTTGAGAAGTCACAAAAGTTAATAATACAAAAATGCAAATAAAGTGATACCCATTAGGCTCACTTCGGAATAAACTAAAATAAATATTATCGCTTATGGCGGTAAAGATGGTTACATATATTTCAGCTTTTGGCGCTCGTACAACTAGTTGTATTATTATACTAATCATGAACATAATTGATTGCTACATATACTAATTTACAAAACGCTGTCCCGGTATATGGATGTTTCGAATAAATAAAAGAAGTTTTAAGAACCCGTCTCCGTAAGCACTGGGGTCGTCCTTTGCGCAGGACCAAGCATGAAGGCTGAATCTTTCGAGAACCTATATCCTTCCAAAAATCGCCTACACTATTTCATAGCACGGATATCACAAACCGATATTTATCCTAGTATTTCTTCACTGCATCAGTAGACTTGGTTTGATTACTGCGTGGAAAATTCATACTATTCATGCTACGTCATATGCCTTCATCGAAACATGAATCATACAATTAATAATAGGGTTATAGGAAAAGGGTCCAGACGAGACGGGCCAGCTTGCAACGAAATATGTAAAAGCAACTTTTTGGTCATGTGATCAAAAGTTTAGCACGATCGGGATTATTTTTTTTACAACTGAACAACTATGTAAAAGAGTGATTTATCTTAAATGATAGCAGAATCAGTGATGTATCAACTGGAGATAACATACGGTTATATTAGATGTTGCCCGAAAAATGTTTATCTCATAAGAAAGGTGATTATTAGAGCGTACTGCTTCTAGTAATTGTAATCGAAAGCTGAATGCGTGTGTTAAATATATATATATATATATATATATATATATATATATATATATGTCTTCTCTTCACGCGAAGTGTGTGCCCAGGTAGCTCAGTCGGTAGAGCGTTAGGCTTTTAACCTAACGGTCCAGGGTTCGAGCCCCTGCCTGGGCGATGCCGTGGATTCTGGAAGCATGAAGTATCCAACCAACCTGAGTTTTTTTATATATATGTACTTGTTTTTTTCTTTGAAACCGTAGTTTTAAGTAAGGTGCAGTAGACCTCAACTGGATCCTGAAAAGTTCAGGTTAGCAGAGTTGTAATGTCTTATGAATTAAAAAAAGTTTGAATCGTAGCGATTTGTTGTCTACGTGTATATTGCAAACTGTGTGCCCAGGTAGCTCAGTCGGTAGAGCGTTAGGCTTTTAACCTAACGGCCCAGGGTTCGAGCCCCTGCCTGGGCGAGGTGATTGATTATGGAAGCACGAAGTGTCCGCCCATACTCAGATTCGTTTTTTTTATATACTTGTTTTTTCTTTGAAATTGTAGTTTTGGTTAAGATGCAATGGACCCTACGTGGATTCTGAAGAATACAGACCGGCAGAGTTGTATTGTCCTTTAAATTAAAAGAAGGTGGAACTGTAATGATTTATTGTCTATGGTTCCAACACACACTGCGTGCCCAGGTAGCTCAGTCGGTAGAGCGTTAGGCTTTTAACCTAACGGTCCAGGGTTCGAGCCCCTGCCTGGGCGATGTCATTCACTGCGGAAGCACGAAGTATCTAACCATTCTCAGTTACGTTTTCATATATATACATACACCTGTTTTTGCTTGAAACCATATTTTTAATTAAGGTGCAATAGACTCCAGCTGGACCCTAGAAAGCTCAGCCTGGCAGAGTTGTAATGTCTTTTGAACTAAAAAAAAAAGTTGAACCGTACGATTTCTTGTCTGTATTGGGGCGGTCAATACTGTGTGCCTAGGTAGCTCAGTCGGTAGAGCGTTAGGCTTTTAACCTAACGGCCCAGGGTTCGAGCCCCTGCCTGGGCGAGGTGATTGATTATGGAAGCACGAAGTGTCGAACCATACTCAGATATGTTTTATATATATACTTGTTTTTTTCTTTGAAATTGTAGTTTTGGTTAAGATGCAATAGACCCTAGGTGGACTCTAAAGAGTTCAGACTGGCAGAGTTGCAATGACCTTTAAATTAAAAGAAGGTAGAATCGCAATGATTTCTTGTCTATCACTCCGACACACACTGCGTGCCCAAGTAGCTCAGTCGGTAGAGCGTTAGGCTTTTAACCTAACGGTCCAGGGTTCGAGCCCCTGCTTGGGCGATGTCGTTTGTTGAGAAAGCACGAAATATCTGATCGTTCTCAGATACGTTTTTACACATATATACTCGTTTTTTTGCTTGAAACCATGTTTTTAATTAAGGTGCAATAGACCCTAGCTGGATCCTGAAAAGTTCAGGCTGGCAGAGTTGTAATGTCTTTTGAACTAAAAAAAAAAGTTGAACCGTAACGATTTCTTGTCTGTATCTCTGCGGCGAACTGTGTGCCCAGGTAGCTCAGTCAGTGGAGCGTCAGGACTTTAACCTAACGGCATAGGATTCGAGCCCCTGCACTGGTGATGTGATTGATTGTGGTAGCACGAAGTGTCCAACCATACCCAGATAGGGGTTTTTATATGTACTTGTTTACCTTTGAAATCGTGGTTTTGATTAAAATTCAATGGACCTTAGGTGGATACTGAAGAGTTCAGACTGGTAGAGTTGTAATCTCCTTTGAATTCGAAGAAGGTAGAATCGTCACGATTTCTTATCTGTGGCTTGAATACATATTCTGTGCCCAGGTAGCTCAGTCGGTAGAGCGTTAGGCTTTTAACCTAACGGTCCAGGGTTCGAGCCCCTGCCTGGGCGATGTCGTTGATTGTGGAAGCGCGAAATATCCACCCGTCCCTAGTTTCGTTTTTATATACATATATGTATACTTATTTTTTCTTTGAGATCGTAGTTTTGATTAAGATGCAATAGACCCCAGTTGTTTGTCAGACCCAGGCCTACAGCGTTATAATATGAATTGAACTAGGTAGAACCGTAACGATTCCTTGTCTGTGGCGATGGCACTATCCTTTTAAATGCGACAGGTGTATATCGGCCCTAGGTTATGTAAATTAATCTGCTCTATAGTCCTCTTCTTAGTTTTTTTAATCACACATCGATTTTTTTTTGTAATATTTGCATCGCCTGCAAGATTAGGTTCAGATCTACAGTGGCTTTAAGACAGGATAAGCCCCACCACATCCAACGAGAAGGTTTAGTCGAGCAGTGTTAGTTCCCAGTCAAAAGAATAACCTGTGGTACTTTACAGGAGCTAGAGACGAAGGTTTAGCAGGTAAGTGACGAGCCAAATGTGATGAGTACCTGCAACTCTTTAGTACGAGTCACTGCTTGTCGACCACGAGAACTGTTTAACTCACTCTGCAACAGTAGTCTTGGAGACTATACTTTACCTAGTTTTACTAAAAAAAGAGTCGAAAATACAAGAAAACAAAAAAAAGGAAGATAAACAACGAAAAAAAAAAGAGACGACGTGTGGTTCAAATTTAAAAGTTTAAGCAATCCTCGTAAGGAATACACAGATAGACTAACTGAAAAATGTAGTGTCTACGAATATTCACAGCAAAGGACTTTGATTTCCTTCAAGGCATTACCTATTTGTAATTCTCAAATGAGATATTAGCTTAGATGACCACTCAATGACGATCAAGTACGTGTATCTCCAAGTTCTTTTAAGTGAATCCAGGATGACCAACCGGTTTCAATTCGCCGAAAAAAAGTTTATGAGTTCTTTTGTCTCTTGTTTATAAACAGGAGTCTGCACAGACCGAATTGCGAAGAGCTGTAAATAGGTAATAGATCAAAAAATGCACAGGCACTACTTGAAGGCTCGCTGCCGGCTGAGCTTCCAGTCTGTTGTCTGAATCGTTTGTTTATAGTTAATGGGCTTAAGAAATTGGAAAGATTGCTCAGTTATGCTCTTCAGCTACTTTACTAAATATGCCTACGGGCGCATATTGTAGGTTTGTTTCTCTGTCCTTGTTTCTAGCACCTTCGTCGTGATAGCTGTAATGGCCAAGTCCGTGTGGCAACCGGAGGCCTTCCGTTTGAGTCTCATGCTGGGACACGTGTTCCTACTGAGGCATAAGGCCGTGGAATAATGTACTCAAATTTTCTTTTTTCAAAATCCTTTTTATTGTCGAATGTGTTGTTCCGAATTTTACCTTCCATTGATTAAAAAAATTCTGAACCGTCAGTTCCAAATCTGAAGTGTAAAAGGCTTTCTATACAAGCGCTTTCAAGCCATCTTTAACGACTTTTCTCCTATGTGGCCCGACACTGGTGTGGGGAAAAATCTGTTTAATTTATCGGGTGTTCTTCGTTGAACAGCTCTGTGCAGTCGATGTAAATGTACCTGAGATCTTTCCAGTCCTGCCGAACCCAAATTATGGCTTTTTTCGGGTGAGGATCTGGCTTGAGTTGGAGGTTAGGCTTATATTTTTTTCGCTAATTTATAATGGCGTAGGCACCATTTGT